TTTGAAGTACCGAGATCGCTTGCCCTCATCGAGAGGAGATTGAGGGGAATTGAGCTACATTCCTCTGGAGATGCCAGCGCAAATGGAGTTGCAGCCTGCGTTTATGCTGTCGTTCGTCAGGTAGCCGGGATAAATCAAGGTCTGTTCGCTGCAAGGTCAAGACTCTCCAAACAAGGCCTGACTATTCCGCGGCTTGAACTCGTAGCCGGTCATATGGCCGTGAACCTGATAACCAACGTGAGAGAGGCTCTTGAAGGACTACCTTTAACAAGCATGCACTGTTGGCTGGACAGCTTGGTTGCCTTGTATTGGATTAGGGGGCAAGGAGAACACAAGCAGTTCGTGTCGAATCGTGGCCAGAAGATAAACAGTCATCATGGTGTCACGTGGCGTTATGTACCCACCGCAGAGAACCCAGCCGATCTCGGAAGTCGCGGAGGCCGTCTAGAGGAAGCAGATTAGTGGTGCCACGGGTCCAACTGGCTTGCGAGCCAAGAGAATTGGCCGGCGGACATCCTCTACGAACCGACTGAAGAGAGCCAAGCCGAAGCAAAAGTAGTTCGGAAAGTACTGGCAGTGGCAGTTGACGAAGAGGATGGCGTCGAGAACGTATTACCCAGATTCTATTTACGGAAAGCCGTACGTGTGTGTGCGTGGATGAGAAGATTCGGGCACAACGCTCTTCGCAGTCGAGGTAGGACGCGCATCTAGGGACCGCTGACAACCCGAGAAACAAATCAGCCGAGACTTCATTGGGAAAGGCAGGCTCAGAAGAGTGGTGAAGTTGAAAAGGATTGAATGGCGTTGAACTTGCAGTTAAATCAGGAAGGCCTACTGGAGTGTCGGGGCCGATTGCAATGAGACTTCCCAGTGTATTTACCAGAAACCAGTCTATATTCCCAGCGAATTGTTGAAGAAGCCCTCTTTCAAACCTTGCGTGGGGAAGTGGAGCTAACGATGACAAAAGTCCGAAACCAATACCGGAGCCCCAAGTTGAGGAAGGTGGTGAAGAAAGTTCACCGAAAATGCCATGGATGCAAAAGATTTCAGGCGATGGCCTACGCTGCCTCACCAAACGGATGCCTCCCAACCACCAGTACCGAAGGCGTTAACCCATTTCAAGTGATCTAGGTCGACTATGCTGGTCTACTGAAATCAGCCCTACACAAGTCAATAGGAAATGGAATGCTGAGTTGGAAAGAATATGAAGAGATTTTAGTAGACGTGGAGATCACACTGATCACACTTAATAACCGACCGTTGAGTTATTTAGAGGATGATCCTAAGTTACCTGTTCTGACGCCGAGCTCTATGCTGTTCGTGAATAGCAATGTACTGCCAGAGTTACAACCTAACTGTATTGAAATGGTTGACCTTCGCAAACGAGCCAAGCACTTGCTTAAGTGCAAGGAGGCGGTGTGGCGACGTTGGTCAAAAGAGTACGTGTGCAGCCTTCGCGAGAAACACCGTGCCCAAGCAACCGCTCAGGGAAACGCACCTGCCATCGGTGACGTTCGCACGGAGGAAAGGAACAGAGGGAAATGGCCGCTGGGCATAGTCGAAGACCTCATAGTTGGTACCGATGGAGTAGTCAAAGGAGCCATATTGCGCCCTGGGAATTCCCGCATCGAACGGGCAGTCCAACATTTGTATCCCCTAGAGCTCTCGTGTAGTAGACGGCCACCACACCTAGTGGAGTTGAATCCATAAGCTCCACCATTCCGACCAAGAAGGGATGCGGCCGTTGCAACGCGCCTACGTATACAGAACGTTGCTCGAGATGAAAAGTGATGTCAAGCTGATAACTGTTTCAGCTGGACTGAACTTACATATGATATCAAGAACAGTTACGAGTTTCATTTCTTTCAAGTGATTTTTGTGTTTAATTAGATTTTCAAGACATATCTCTCCTTAGCTTAAGCTACCTTGGACTAAACCCAATTACGTGTTAATTCCTGATAAAACAACCTGCATTTTTTCACATTTTTCACACACAGAGGACAAAGTCCAGATAGGCAACAATCAATTAAGGAGCCCTCTTTGAAATATTATCCTTTTCTCTTGTTCAATGCATCTTCACCTATTCGAGATTGCAATATATCTTTGATTACGGTCTATAAGAGGTACAACAGAGTTTCAGTTTGGTTTTCGTAGTAAAACTACGCGGAATTATATTTTTGTGGTAACTAACCATAGACGAATAATTATCATTTTCTCTCTGTTGGAGGAACGGCAGTAAGCGTAGTCTTTTTCGCAACCGTTATTTGGTCTCATCACGCAACGCGCTTTCTCTCAAACGGGAAATAGAGGGCGTTGTGTGACGAGACCAAATAACGGCTGCGAAGGAGACAACTGAGCGTGGCACCAATGCATTTCATTTTAACTAAATAATATTTAGACAATAGATACAGTAGATCACATATCTGTGCGAGTTCAGATAAATAAGGTTTTTTTCTGTCTTTCTGCGATATTTTCGTTTTTGAAAATTATGCTCTTTTCGGTGACAAAAATGAAAACATTAGGTACACAAACTGTTCCATCTCAACCCACCCAGCCGAAAAAATAACTCTTGCATGCTACGCATGCCTATGTTTTGTGATTGGTCAGTATTCAAATGACCTGCTGGAATCACGTTCCCGCTTTTTTTAGTGTCTCAGTGAAACCGTGTTTCCACCGCTAACTATACTAGCATCCGCTTGATATTTCGAATTTGACAATCGAGTACTTGTTAAATAAGTCATTATTTTGGATATTCAATGCAAGAAATGACAGTGCACCAAAACTTACAACCTACTTCCTAACTCGTATTTGTAGAAAGGTGCAGTTGGTACAATTGTTGTACCATAATGAACCTCGCACGCAAAAAACTTAAACACCGTTTTAGAGAACGTTCTCTTACGCCATGATAAAGGATTGTATGTTTTTCGGAACCTATCTGACCGAGTGACGCGAAGAAAATTGTCGCTGCGGCCTATTCCGTAGACATGTCGCAGCAATGTCACCCGCTTCCTAGAGATTTGCGCGCGCTGAAAGTGTTACGTTGCACTGATTTCGCGCCACTGAGTTGCGCGTTTATGACGCTAAGTCGCAAGGACTTCTAGCAGAGATTTTCACAACCTGAGTAGGGAGGGTTTTTTCATGTTGAGAGATGGGTGTATCTCTTTCACGTTCATCGGGACGAACAGCTGAAGCAAAGTACATTCATTCCATTGACACCAGAGAGTCAAATGGCGAAAATGATGAATTCTTGAACCAACGCACGAAAGGAAAAACAAGCAAGCGTAGAAAAAGCACATCAAAACGGACCGAAACAGCATTTTTCCAATTCAAAACAACGAAAAGCAATCCACGGGATATATTTGATAGCCTTGATACCATAGTCTCCAGGAAATCTGTCCCGTTTGCTGCCCTTCCAGATGATAGCCCTCAAGCTTTGGCGGGCTCGGTGGTTGGTGACGAGGATATCACAGGTAATCAGTCCAAGGATGGAGCTGTCACACATAGCACAATCGGTGATACGTTCCTTGAAGATTTCGATGACAGGAATTCAACAAAGGAGTGCGCGGAAAAAATGACGGGGGCGAAAAACGGAGAAATCATAGCGCAAAGGGTGACACCACCCTTAAAGAATGACGAGACCCGCCGCAACCCTCAAAAGCTAAAAAGTACTGCGCATATCCTAGTGCCTCTATCTCGTAGAAACTGTGCGGATGGAGGAGGAACTAAGTGGGAGAGTGTGCCAGACCAGACCGGAACAACCCCATAGCGAAACTGAAATGGTTTACCCCAATAATGATTTCAGGGAAACTAAACGGCAAAGTGTACCAGATTTAACAATGATACAGACCGGTAGCGAGACCGGAACAGTTTGCCATAGTGACAATTATCGTGCTTAACCTTCATAGTTTTACTCCTGCAAAATGTCCTTGATCTTTCTTGAATTAAAGAACGTAAATTAGAAAATGCTTAAAGCTGATGCATTTAAGTGATGATGTAAAAACATGTTGAATTATAGGAAATTTGGTTGCCTGGCCACTATTAGTTTTTGTCTTCTTAAATCCTCAACCCGGTCTCTCCTTCATTGTTACTCCATAGGAAGCTCTCAGTCGTGTACCCAAGTTTCCCCTATCAAATTCTCAGGGGCTCGGCTTCAAATCTGAACACATTTTTCTTCCTTAGCCGTTTCCAGCGCTTCCTTCCCAGCCTATAAAGCAAAGAGACACGGTGGTAAAATAACACTGATCTTATTGCACAACACCCAATTCTGGCATGATAAGTGAAAGCCCTGTAATCGAATCAAGCCATTTCAACTTTCTGTTTTTTCTCAAGTCGACAGAGTACACGTTTTCTGCGCCCCAATATGTTAACCCTCCACTTACCTTCCCGTAGAGACCGGCTACCGAAGCACGCGAAGAAGGGGGTAGTCCGTAAACGCCTCAGGTTGCCCTTATCGTTACTCACGTACTAAGCTGCCTCTCAAGTACTTTTATAGGGAGTCTCAACTTCTTCACTTTTAAAATACAATTCAACCTCCACACTGTTGAAAATGGTAATACAAGAAGTAGGGTTGATACAAGTACCCAACCGAAAGAGATGGTTTCTTCAGAGGCTTTATTGTGTCCTTGAAAATGTTTTACTTAAATTTCACCTCTGCATTGGACATAGGTGTTCTGAAAATGTACTACAGTACAGTCACATACAGGCAAGAGGGAATCTTCTCATAACCCTACTTCTTGTATGTACAGGTCCTAATGACCCTTCAGTAGTCGGAAACAATATATTAAATACTTCGTGGTGAAATTCAATTACGCAATCTCAAGGTTTATATTTTTATTCATTATTGTGCTATGTATCACAACAACAACACACCACTCGTTTGAACTGATGATATTAAATTTATTTATTCTAGGTTTTAAGAATTCAAATGGACAGATACAAAGTGTCCTAGTTTCTTTACAGTTTAAAACCCTTGTCCAAAACTGTCTTCAGCTATCTTAGGATAAAACCTATTTACCAAAAATTATATTGGTCAACAAATTGATTTATTGATAATCATTAAAATAAAATGCACAGAGGGGAAGGGAAAACTTTCACACCACCATAGTTGTAAAGAGATCTATTGCAGATAATCTACACCACAACAGATTTTTATCTCTAAATACATGTAACTTCTTAAAGTGGCAGCAGATGAGAAAGATATGTAGAACACGGTAACCAACCAAAAACTAAAGATCATTCATCACAAATGCTGCAAACTTTTCAAGGTCATATATGTGCAAGGGATTAAACAGTGATTGTTGAACCTACTCTTGGGCTGTGCTTCACCAGCACTAGGGTGTCACAGGCAACTAACTACTGTTTTGGAAACCCCATACTTCTAAGGGGGCACCTGGTTATTCCACTGAAGGGAAGATCCAGGTGGTGGTTTCGCAGTGTAAATTGAAAATGTGACCTGTTTCAGCTGTCATGGTACATTTCAGAACTACCTCTGGGAGCTGAGAGGACAGTAATTCCCTTGGTTAACAAGCAGAAAATTCTTCGCTGGCTATGTGTTATTACATGAACACAATAACTTCTGTGTATTTTATAATTTTCCTCATTCTCATCATCTGAACTTTAACAGTGTATTACAAATTGAAGATAATTAAATACTGTTCACTCTATAGAATCAAAATGTTAACCTACATGAAGATAATGCATGATATTATCAGTAGTAACAACAGCCATGTTGACCCTGATAACTCATACTAAAGCAAGAAAATGGTTGGACAGAGAAAAAGTTCCCCCAAATGAGCGACCCCTAAGTGACGTATGGCTTAAACCCTTTGAGAACCAGAATTAATCAGTATCTGAGTACTTTTTATATCAGCTGGTGGGAAGTAAATGGATGAAAGGATGGTATAACACCTTTGGAAGGGAGCATAACTGATCGAGTTTTCAACATTGATTACTTCAAGTTTGTCTACTGAGCTACTGTCATGGCAATTACGCTCTCGTTGGAATAATGAGACTTTTGATTGAATTCAGCAAAGCAGCCTGCTTGCAACAAAAATATACATGTACTTTAAACATTGTGACTGCTGACCAAAGCAAGTTAATTACTAACCACAAAATATAGCAATAACACTTTTTCTATTTACTGTACTTGTAATAATTTTATAACCTTGACTAAAGCTGCTAAAAGAATTCATTCACAGCCTCACTGACCCAAATTAAAAGTTCAACTATACAAATATCTCTTTTTTTTTTCTACTGAGCTCCATAGACACTCTCGTCACTGTATGCTATGTAGAGGAAGAAGTCTTCTTCATGATGTTCTTGGTAAAGCTGACCCATCGTTGCACTTGTGGGGGGGATGACATTGTTCACAAAAAAGAACAAGGCATCTTCAGGTCTGAGATGAATTCGCTTCCGAATAAGGAAGTAAAACTGTCCAACTATGGAAGATAAAAGTAAAAACACCAATATTAATTTTCGCATGACCACTTTTCCAGTCACAGAATTACATGACTTTCTACGACTAATGATCAGTATTAGTTTATTTGTAATGGGTAAAGAGACATCTGATCAAGGTGTCTCTTGTTTTGTTGTTCAAACAAAATTTTCAATTATTTCCTTTGGTTTTCCTGGCAATAACTGTTTTCCAAGACTTCTTCTAACTAGAACTAAGTAAATGCCTTCGTAACCAATAGAAGATGGGTAGGAATGCTGAATAACAAGGCTATGAGACCTTCATTTGCTTTGTCAATGAGTTTCACCCACACTGAAATGTAGTTTGTAATGCAGGAAACTTGCATAAATTTGTGTGATTAGATTTCAGAACAGCAACCTAAAAGAGTAAAACCATCATGGTTTCCCATACTACCATCTCATGACATGTTAGAAACTAATCATGACTAAGACTAAGAGCTGATGGGGGAAGTCATCATAAAAAAAATGTATCCTTAGTGGGAACCACATTCAATAAACAATCACATACTTAATCCTATTTGAACTTAATATTTTGACAAACCTGTCAAATCTGAGGGAACCAGGTATTTCTTCTTATCCAAGTCTCCTATCCTTGCTTTTGGTGCTTTCTCAACAATAACCTTATGAAAGAGAAGAACAAAACAATAAATGCAATGTAAAATAACAAAATCCAGACTGACAGGTGGTCACTTTATAATTTTTGTCCACTCCATTGAGGGGCCACTTTACATAGTTTCACTTTTTTAAGTTAATATAATGGATAATTTCACATAACTACCAGTTGCTTCTACATCTCCTCTTCATTTCAACTTGAAACTCTTCAATAAAGTGCCATAAACATAACATAATTACTGCTAACCAGGTAAAATGTGTCCTAAAAGCCATTTGTTCCATCGTACATCCACATGTATATGCTCAAGTTCATGTTTGTTTAAATTTAAAGATACTCATAATGTTTCATGATACTGCTTTGAAATGTGTGATGACTCAGCACCATCCAAAACATTCCCACACTGTAGTCATCATACACCTACACTCTTCTACAGTAAAAAAATTAATTGTTTTGTCATAGTTAAATTCCTCAATAAGATCTCAGAATTCAGAGTGAAATTTTTCTCCTCAATGTATACAGAAGAAATTTGTCAAAAAATGCTCACAAAGCTTAATTTATCAGCCTCTGAAAGCATTTCAAAGAACTTGTTGATTCTAAGTTTATTTATGACCACCTCAAATTCTCTCATACCGAATTACAGTGAAATTTATCATCGGGGTATAACTTAAGAAAGGAATTTAGGTCTTTAATGTAGTCCTCTACAAGAAATCTGTAGGAAATTGCAAGCAATAATTCTTAGTGAATTAAAACATGCCACAACAAGAAGCCATGCATAAATAGATTTTAACAAATATCATATGTATATATATATTCTTTTAAGTTAAGCCATCAAGGTTTTCAACTATTATTATTTAATCGATCTTAATCATTTTTTTTTACCATACACACGATTTTTCTGGAATATTCCAGGGAACTGTTTCGCCATTTTTTATTTCGGAGACAAAGTCTTAACATATGTCAGCTTATCAGTCTAATCAAATGACTTTCTAACACAATCTCAATGCATTTTTAATAGGATTCACAGGATCAAAAATTTGTCAGGCAACGTTACCGAGTGAAGAAACAAGCTTTCGTAAGTCGTCAGCTATTTCAGTTTTCACAAGAAAGACAGCTGAAGACGGCATCAAAACATAGCTTACACTCGGAGATTCTGTCGATCTCAAATAATACAGCTTTGTGAACTTTGCCACGGCGTTTATTTACCATTCTGAGAAAGGAGAAGACAATTTCCTCTACATGGACATATAGAAATTTCGTGACGTTGCACCAAGAGTTGTCGCTGACGCCATGTTTATTTTCTTCAAATGATATTAAAGTTTCGCTTTAGAAACAACTTCACTTTCTACACAGTAACATAGCTCTTAAGCAGCTGAACCTACATAAGTTGTTCCCTCAAATAATGGTAATCGACGGATCTTAGGAATAAAAATCATGAATTGACAGTAAGTTTTCGATCAGTCGCGAGCCCTACCTACCGGAACTCTGTCCGGGTACTTCTTCCGAATTTTCTCTCCTTCAGCCCGTCGTTTCTCGAAAGGGTGCTCTTCCTTGTATTCCCACTTCATCGATGCACCTTTCAAAAGTAATCTGTTTTCCTTAGATTATATCTAGAGGAGAAAATATTAGCGTTCTACTTCCGAAGGCACAAGAAAATGGCGCTTCACAACGCACCAGGTCGATCACGTGATGTTGTGTTCTATGACGTAGGGAAAGTTTAGCATATTTTTAGAAGCATTATGACAGAGACCGGAAGCAGGTTTACTCTACCGGAAGTTGCCGGAAATTGGGACCTTTTCAGCTTTTCCATGCAACCCCGCGTTGTGCAAAGGAGGATTTTTTTTTCAATAACCTAAAGAGATTACACTTAGTCAACAGGTATACCTGCCTACCCACATATAGCTCATTACACTACAAATCTACCCAGATTACTCTTCATGAATGGCATATTACTGTCACCTTGAAACCTTGAATATAAATATAAATGATGATATATTGGAAAATAAATAATGAACATTGGAAATCAGTTTTATTCAACTTTGTCATGATTGGCCAGACAGGCCTTTTTAATGCAGTCAAACTACCAACAGTATTGAAAGTGTTTGATACTGATTATCAACTGGAATATAGTGAAAACTACTCTGTTCACCAAGAAACTGCTATAGAGGGATTTCAGTACTATAACTCTTTACAAAAAGTCTTTGAGTCGCTCATATCTGAAAACTACACCAATTTCATATTAACAGTAAGGTGTATTGCTTTTGCAACCCATTGCTATAGTAATATGGGGTTCAAAATATTTTATTCTCACACTAGAGATTTGTATGGTTGAGGGCTGCCTCAAGGTACATGTGTTCTTCTTGAAATATTTTCCCTTGATAGTTAAGAGCATTATTTTCAGAGTATACACAACAATGATATATTTGAAGAGAGAGGAGTACAAATTGAGAATATTGAAAATAGAATGGTTTCTCAAAACAGTGTGAATGAAACCCCAAACTTTAATCCAAGTTATGCTGTAGCTTTATACTCTCTTTGCTAACTCCAAATAAAAACAAACCAATTGGAGGGTAATAGTACAAAATATGCTGAAGTATATTTCAACGGTTCATGAGAACCACTCTTACAATTAGTAATTCATCTGCTACTAAGCTTTGGTGGTGACTTTATGTTTTCTTTTGGTATTTTGAAAAATAAGCAATTTGTTTTCTTGCATGGGTTAAGTGTCATCATCCTAACACTTGGGGCTGTTTATAATTAAAAGCTTTCTCAGCCTGGAATCTGTTGTCAACCAAGAAAGAGAACACATAAGAAGACAGCCTATTTGGCAAATGGCTCAGCCCACTACAACCCTTTAACCTGCAAAACAAAATTTAATCAAGAAAAAAACTATAAAAAGAAGGAAAAAACAATGGAAAAAGTGTCAAGTAACAAGTATTGAAATAATGCCATTAATTGGCACTAACTCCCCCCACCCCACCCCAGAAAAGGGTCTTTACACGACATAACAAATGCTGTTTTCAGCTCTCTGTATACATATGTGAGAAACCTGCACCACTGGCATACCAAGAGAGAAAAAAGTTACAGGATAAACCAATAATTTCACAAAAAAATTAGGCACAAAGAAAAAAACAAAGTTTCGTTCTAACAGAAAGCACGAGTGAACGCAAATATGCGTCTAGTTTAAACATAGGCATACTATGCATACACGAGTTATTTTTTGGGGGGTTAGTGGATTACTTGAAACATTGTAAGTGATTTCTAAATTCTTACAAAAGGAAAGAAGAGTATTAACGCGGAAAAGAACGAAAATGTCGAATTGACTCACACACAGGTATTTTGTGGTAGATTGCTCGCGGAAAAGCGATTGCGTGACGCTCGGTAAGTTGTAAGATGACATGTTATCACATACCAGACGAAAAAACTCTTTAGATTCTCAGTCTGCATTTTGTACGCACTCTGTTGTCTACATTTTGTGCCTAGTCTACATTTTATATTCGGTCTGCAGTCTGCATTTTGTACTAACAGGTATCCGGTACAGTCTATTTTTGGTTAAAGTTATTCGCACAACACACGCAATCCGGTAGTTAGATAACGGCGTAATATGTGACTAACACAGTCTATATACTGTAAGATTTTACGCCACTAACCCAGTCGGTGATTTAATTATAATAAATTAAAATATAATTAAATTATATTACTGGCGTAAAATGTTACATATATATATATCACCGACTGGAAACCGTTAGTAACTGGCGTAAAATCGTACATATAAAACAACCGACTGCAAGAAATTACGCCGTTAGTTACTGGCGTAAAATCGTACATATAAACACAACCGACTGGAAGAAATTACGCCGTTAGTTACTGGCGTAAAATCGTACATATAAAACTACCGACTGGAAGAAATTACGCCGTTAGTTACTGGCGTAAAATCGTACATATAAAACAATCGACTGCACTAACGGCGTAATTTATTCCAGTCGGTTATCTTATATGGAAGATTTTACGCCAGTAACTAACGGCGTAATTTCTCCCAGTCGGTTGTGTTTATATGGAAGATTTTACGCCAGTAACTAACGGCGTAATTTCTTGCAGTCGGTAGTGTTTATATGGAAGATTTTACGCCAGTAACTAACGGCGTAATTTCTTCCAGTCGGTAGTGTTTATATGGAAGATTTTACGCCAGTAACTAACGGCGTAATTTCTTGCAATCGGTTGTGTTTATATGTACGATTTTACGCCAGTAACTAACGGCGTAATTTCTTCCAGTCGGTTGTGTTTATATGGAAGATTTTACGCCAGTAACTAACGGCGTAATTTCTTGCAGTCGGTAGTTTTATATGGAAGATTTTACGCCAGTAACTAACGACGTAATTTCTTCCAGTCGGTGATATATATATATGTAACATTTTACGCCAGTAATATAAATTAATTATATTTTAATTTATTATAATTAAATCACCGACTGAGTTAGTGGCGTAAAATCTTCCAGTATATAGACTGTGTTAGTCGCATATTACGCCGTTATATATATTCCCTCCGCGATCAGCCTTCACGATTATTTGCGCTATTTTGGAATATTCCTGGCCGATTTCTTGATGAAAATCAATCGTAATATAATTTCAAGCCTTTATATAGTCTTCTCACTTTGCGCGCGAGTTGGTTGGTGTGATGTCTGTACAGAGTTTACCAACGTAATAAAAGTAGATGTAGATATAGATATATAGATGTAGACGAGATGTCACTATTGACAGCTTCTCAAATGGTCCGTATTATCATCTTTTTAGGGCGGTATGTTTTTATTTTGTTGATAAAAATGCGGACCAAGACCAAAACTGTTCCTTTGACTTGATATATTTTCGACGTTAATATATCACATCATATTGACTTACCGCCGTTAATAATTCATTCCAGATAACAAAATCAAATAAACATGCTGACGATGGTATCTGCATTCGTCCTTGGCCAAACACAAACGACTCCACAAGATCACTTTCTCCAGACGTTGAAAACATACATAAAATCATCCGTAGTTTATTTTGATCAGACATTCATCGAGAAATAGCAACGAGCAAACCAATCCAGAAAAATATAATTGGCACACTCAACAAATCAGGAATCTTGCAACACAGCCTGCCGTTAAAGAACTGCTCAAGTCAAAATGTTTGGTGCAATTCATCAACACCTCAAGTAACATTTGATTCAAAATTTTTCCACTCACTCTCGTCGTGGAGGAACAATAACCATGATCGTGCTACAGTGCACAGAACTCCAATTTCTCTCTAACAACTATTTATCCACCATTTTCACAGCACGAGTAACACGTTACCTATAGGTAATCTTTCATCTGTCCAGAAGTATCGCATTTCTAATAAAGCGCAGTGAAATACACGTTAAAAACACAGAAAAGCCAACATTTCTCATTCTAAAAGATGTTTCCGGCCATTTCACAAACCGCTCTCTTCGAATCCCCCATTACTTCGTTGAAATTTGAACACGTCTCAAACCAAAGAACAAAACGACGCTCTGATTGATGCGAGATACATACCCTAATGCGGCGATCTGATTGGTGCGAGATACATACCCTAAACGATCTGATTGGTGCGTGGGCAACATGCCACTCTCTGTGCGCTAATGAAGATGTTATTTTTTATTTTTATAAAAATGCAAACCGGAGACACAATCCGGCGAGGTTTTCTAGAACTGTCTCGAATTCTACCACCCCCGTTAAATGTTTAGTCAAGGCAAAGTAAGCAAGGAGGAAAACTCCGCTACTGCTTGATTATAAGCCATTTTTGAAGCAATTTATTCTTCTTCTACTTATAACTTGACAAACTGATAGGAAAACTAGAAAATAAAAAACAGACCGGAAATCTTGTCCGCTGTTTAAATAGATCTATAAGGTTATGAACTGCAAAAAACCAGAAAGTAAATAATTCACAGGTTCACTAAAAAAATGAATTATCCGAGAAACTGAGTTTCATTGTGTCATTACTAATACTTTGCTGACTAATCGAAAATATACAATAGAATCACAAAATTCAAACTCGGTAATTGTTCAAGTAAAAATGATAACAAATTAAGAAGCATAATGAAAGTCAATAAAAGAATCAAATTAAGAAATGTAAGTAAGGCCTGCGGTAGTATTAACAGTTCCATCAAGTCAGCGCTTGAAGGCAAAGAGACCTGGAATGATGCTGGCGATGATTGCTGATATACCCACTTTATCCGCGTCTGTTACGGTTTGGGCTTCTTTTAATCCAATGGCCTCAAGGTACCTGTCGCAGAAGTCGTGGCAGTTGTTGCCAAACATGAAATACCTTCCAAAATGTTTCATCACTGCAATTGCTTTGGCAATTAGATCTTCTCCGGTGGCTTCGATCACTCCGAGGTATTCCATCTCAGGCTTCAAATCTTTGTCAATTTTCCTCGTCACTGGGTAAATATGTCTCCTACCCTTAATTGTGTCGATACCAAGCTCTACAGAGACGAATTGCTCGTCATTTGTAGAGAGAACAATGGATTTGTGGGCACTAATGCCGCTTCCTTGAATCGAGTAAACTTTGTACCTCAACGTCTCAGTCAAGTCTGGTAATAGACCTTGTTTGTCAAGCTTGATCAATTGCTGCATGTATTTCTCCAAATACTCATCTGTATCGAGCATTGGTTCAGCGAATATATCATCACCACTCGACATGACGAGGATCCGTTCTCCTGTTACTTTAAAAAGCTGATCTTCACACGTTGTTTTAGCCTCCAAATCTCCAAAGTAAAAGCCCAGAAATTCAGTGCGAGTTATGCTAATCAGGCAAGTTGGTGCAAGTTGGTGCAAATTTTACCGCACAATTGCTTCTAAACAAAGGAGGTTCTCCCTCAGAAATACAAAAATATCAATAACTATTCTGACGCAGATGTTTCCAAAGCTCGACACGTTTGCTTTATAGTTTTGATCCTGGTGTTGCAAAGCAGCTCAGAGAAACAGAGTGTAATCACTTTAGGTTACTGAAAAAAAGTTCTCTTTTGCAAAACGCCGTGTTGCATAGAAAAGTTGAAAAGTTCCAATTTTCTACGCATTTCCGGTAGAGTAAACCTGCTTCCGGTTTCTGTCATGATGCTTAAAAAGTTTAGTCGAGGCAAAGTAAGCAAGGAGAAAAACTCCGCTATTTTTTGATTATAAGCCATTTTTGAAGCAATTTATTCTTCATTTACTAATAACTTATGACAAACTGATAGGAAAACCAGAAAATAAATAAACAGACCGGAAATCTTTTATGCTGCTTTATTAGATCTCAGAAGTCTTGAAGTCTTTAATAAACCATAAGATAAAAGATACATATCCTCTGTTACATAAACGAGAAACTGTGTAATGATAATTACAGTAATATACTATGGCCAAAATAAAATTATGTAATTATTACAGGTTGTGTTAAAAAATTAGTCTATTCACAAATGTGTTCATAAAACGTTCTGTGTTAATCTTTGGGCGGAGGCAAACCTCGCGACGTAAATTATATTGCTGGGGTTTAGGCTTCGGCAGAATTTCATTTTAACGGATGATGGCTTAGGGCCTTAGCTCCACTAAACAATTTCTTATCCTGCATATGCATGATATCCTTGACACTCAATGGAACTGAAATATAACGCCGCTTGTAACATCTGTTTAAAAAGTTCTGTACTGTGTTTAGATCGCGTTCCTACGCACCATACACTGAAAGGCCATAAGTTAAATTAGGTAATACAATTGTCTTAAAAAGGAGATCTTTTTAATTCTGGTCATATTGTTCCTTTCTCAGAGTTCTTAATATATGGAGGCACTTGTTAGCCTTAACTAGTTTGACCTTAACATGAGAACTAAACTTACAATCACTCTGAAGCGTGACTCCGAGTAAGCACTATTCATTATGTTGTGGAATGCAATTGACTGGATTATAGGTGTCCTTGTTCGATTTCTTTCTAATTACAAGCTCTTTGCATTTACTAGGATTACATACAGTTCCCTCGCGACCAATTTAAAAACTCATTCACTAAGGTTACAGAGGTATCAGTATTGGTGATAAATTTCCCCATAGCAACAAGGCTGTGGTGGGCAAGCGAATTAGGCATTCCTTGACAACAACAAGACTTTGACCTATCAGGTGTGACACTGCAAGACAATAAAGACTGCCTTTTACCTTTTGTTTCCATTTTAAAAATCTGGTTTTTAAAAGATTGGTAGTTTAGTGTTTGTCTTTTATACGAGCAAATTTGTTTTCTCGCAGATCTTTTGTAAAACTGAATATATAGTCTCTGAAGGGATGCGATCGAAGAACGTGACCAGCAATGGCGGTTGCTTTCACCGGTAAGTTGTTGATACTTTTTGTCGTATCTTCTAGACTAATAAATCTTTTCCAACGATCGAGATTCTGATCTTTATTACTTTCTGTCATATTCTTTGGTATTTTAGAGAATAATATACAGAGCCGTAGCGACTTTATGCCATTTCAAGTGATGTTTCTGTGGGACATATTTTATGTACTTCATCGCGACTTCGCGTGAGATCCACAGTGTTGTGTTGAATCTCAGTTGGTAGTTTCGGTTTAACAAATTATCTTATCAAATTATCTTATCTTCTGTCTTTTTTAGATGAATAAGACTTAATAGAAGATGAATTAAGTGATTTGTCTTCTTTACTCAAGATGAGTTTTACAATAGAAGGGGGAAATGGTATGGTTTTCCTTTAACTTTGAAGGTCTACGTAGCGTCTATTGACCTTTGTGTGAGGTTTATTCTTTCCTTCATTATACATGTAATATTGTTTATACCATCTTATATGATCATTATTTTTTATTGTCAAACCCTTAAGATGCCAATTACGACGACCAAGGGACAGTAGAAATCACTAAATTGAACAAAAATCGACTTCATTGTTGTGTCCCACGTTGTAATTGGGATTCGCGATATCACGGCAAGCTGTCTTTCCATCGTTTTCCGAAGCATTACGCTCTAAGAAATCAGTGGATCATCAAAATAAGAAGAAACGAAGGATCTTACTTCACGGTAAACTCTTAAGTTAAGAAAAGTGAGTACTAAATTTACTTTCCATGAAGCAGGATTGTAAGAATGTTTGTGTTGTCTTTTTCTTTAGATAACAAACAATACAAGGGTCTGTTCCAGGCACTTTTTGGAAAGCGATTATAGGCCTCCAACCCCAACAGGAAAGGCTTTACTGAGAACTGGCGTTGTACCCTCGGTATTCAATTGGCGTACGAACACTTAGCAAAGACGAAAAGTAATACGCCTTGTGGACAGGTAGGGTATATACAGGCGGCCCTAGCTCACGTCTGGAGAAAAAGCCAACGATTAATTCATGAACCCGTCACGCGTTGTGTGACTCGGTGTTAAGTTACGAGAGGAACCGTTGAAAATTTGAACACGTTGTCCGTTGTAGTTTCCGGTGATTTCTGCTGTTTCCGCCTGGTTATAAGGAATACGTGGGGAACGAATTTTGGTCGATTTACAACGGTAAATATTTCGAAATATGAATATTTTACTCGTAGAATCAATAACACTTACTCGTATCCTGTGTGTCCGTTGTAGTTTCCGGCGATTTCTGCTGTTTTAAGCTTGCTTTACCATAACTGTTATTCCTGTCAAAGGACGAAGTCTCTTTCTGTTGGAAATGAACTTTGCTTTTTGTGCTTGCATTAGCCTGAGTTTTTATTCTCTAGAGTTTTTTCTCTTGGTATGCAATCCCTAAAGAATCAGGTGAAAAAATGACACCAATATCAGACCAAAAGAAAACACAAATAAGAATGGCACTGTCAGATTTAAAACTGATAATAATGATGAAATCTCTGTGGTATCAAATACTTTGCTACTGCACATCAATCAACAACTAAAAGAAATATTGTCAACATCAAACGACTGTCTATTTGCAGGACTTAGCATTATTACAGTAGGTGATTTATATTAACTTCCACCAATTTCAAGATGATAGAGTTGACTAAAAATATGAGACAAAAGGATGACCAACCATCCACAGAGTTATTTAATAGATTCAGAACTGTTTAAGAACTGCTCCACAAACAGAGGGTGATATTCAATGCATTCAGTCAAGGCTAGTGTATCTTGAAGATACTGATTACCCAGTATCCATTGTTTTGTGTTTTTGGGACAGTTTTTGGTGTATCTCCTGGTTATTTTTTATATCCCTAAATTGTTTTTTCTCCAATAATGTTTTTTTCTCTGCTGGCTCCATTGGTTTATAGCATTGTTTTTTTTCTGTGTTTAATCATCAATTTTTTTCTTTCCTTTCTATCAACTACTTTACATGAGCTGGTAGCAAACAGTATTCTGTGATTGCCCAGAGTATTATATTTCTCTAGTTTTTTTTCTGATGGCATCAACAAGTGAAGCCATTCCATTTTTGTTTTTAGTGTACTGAATAGGGGACTTGTGTCTTTCATAATAAAGCAGGGGGGAATACATATATTTTGATTTTTTTTTGTGAGTTTAAAGGTACATCTGATGCAGTACGAAGATATCAAAAACCCTGTGCATTCGTTAATATGTATTATTTCATTCCCAAGAATTGACTTGCTTTGAAGTGATTCAGCTAATAGTCCTTCACTCTCAAACAAATAATCCAAATTTTCTTCAGTTTCACAAACATCTACAGTTCTTGGAAGATTAGATGGTGATTGCTGGTTGTGTTCTAACTCGATTTACAACACATCTTTTTGCCTTTGTCAATAATGGTGGGTACAGATGAGTTGTAATTCCAGTCATTACATGATTTCATTATAGAGTAGTTAAGAAAGTATAGAGCTACAGCACAACTTATGCCCCGTTCACACCAAAGCTTAAACATGTTTAAATCTTGTTTTACTAAACTGATTTTATTAAACTACCTGTTCACACCGCGGGCGCGTGTAGCCAAACATGTGTGTGTACTTAACCCGGCCATCCAACTCATATATCAAGAAATAGATAATTACAATCTACTAGCCCCTGAAGGATTAATGAGTGGAATCCCTTCCTGTTAACATAATCACCTGGACTTTGCCGAGGTCCAATGATTGGGACATGGCAACCATCGACTGCTGCAACCACCTGGGGAAAACCCGCGCGACTTTTCAAACCTTCAATTTTTTCTTGGACTTCGTGTTGATTTTGGGGAACGTTTATATAATTGGGAAGAAGAACGTTCACTATCACCTCGCATACCTGTCGCATAATACCACAAACAGTGGATTTTCCGACACCAAATAGATTTCCGATCGTTCGAAGTGAACCGTGTCCGCAAGCCAATAAAATGTTATGGCGACTCGATGACGCACTGTAATGGCTTTCCTGTGTAACGAAAGTTCTCGGCAAAGGCAATTAAATGCTTCTTTAGACATGCGAAAATTCTCATTCCAGTCCTTTTCTTCCCAATCTTGGCAAGTCTCTTCACAAAATACTTGCGACCCGGGTTTTAGCCAAATACGGCGAACAGGAAGATGTTGGAGAAGAAATCGGAGCAAAAAACGAATAAACAATGATGAAACGAGACGTCTCCGACGGAAATAACGATAAAACCGTCTCTGCGCGTTTCTCTGTCGGTTTTTTGTAATTCTGAGGTTTTCCCGATCCCTCAGCCGTGACTGCGCCAACAACAGCAGGATATTGTGATTCAAACAAGCGACTAAATACAGGAATAACTCCGACCTGTGATTGGATGATAAAAATTGTAAAAGTTAATAAGTTATATCTTAACTCCATGCTCGTGAGTATTGTTGACCGCGTGTCTCAAAGCAGAACAATCAATGCGAGTGAAAACACCGATGTGTCAACAAGAAATGGTTACTTACCTAGCGAAGGGAAGGCAGCCTTTCTTGTTCAGTAAGGTCGTTCAGCGATATTCCGGCGATGAAAAAGTCATCTGCTGACTAGCTCTGCTGACTAAACTCATTTAGTCAGTTCAGGCGGACAATCAGAAACTGGAGCCATTCCTGCATTTCACCGCTGACAGGAATAGTTCCGACTCAAACGTTTAATAATTTTTTTTTCAATAATGTTTTAATAATTTTTTAAACAATTTTTTTTAAAAAAATTTGGAAAAATTTAAAACTAAACTAGTGAGCAGCGCTATGCGAACAGCAATTGTAAAACGTCTTTATTCTCTGACGCGTTTCGTCTAACTGTCGTAAACTTCTTCAGGGAGTTTTACAAGTTACGACTGAACGCCTATATTTATAAGCTATTGTTAGCGGCTATTGCGGGGACCAATGACCATATGGGCTTGGCTGGACCTACGAGCAGGAATAGGTAAAGTTGTGAAAATTTTGAAAATTTCTTTTGAAAATTTTGAAAATTTCTTTTGAAAATTTTTTAGGCAAGATGAGAAATATTTTTGGGAGCCACGGTTTTAGCTAAAAATTTTCAAACTTGAAAAATTGAAGTGGTTTTTTTACAGATGATTCATGGAAAGCAGTTGGCAAATAAGGTTAGGATGGCTCGTGTACTTTACAGAAAATGTGGTTTATGTTCTACTCATTCTTTCTTAAATTTAAGTGGTATAAATACCTTGTCTAAAACAGTAGTGTTATACAATAGTAAACGAGATTTACTCGTTCCAATACAGCGTCATGTGATGAACAGCCTTCATTAATTTTAGAACAAGTTTTATAAAATCATTGTACTCTTTCTTGTTCCATCACTGAAAACAGTCAAGGTACTTCGACACGATTCAGTGCGAGAGCTATAATGCGGGTATCAGCGGCCATCCCGAGGGGTCGACCCCCGGGCAACCCACGGGCTTAGCAGGGGATTTGTAGCAAAGGCATGCCCCGCACGCGGGGCATTAGAGCGCTTTTGCGTTTTTGGCAAAATACCCCGGGGCCATAACAACGGGATTTGCACGTAATCTGCTGTCTCGACGTTCAGCGGTTTTCGCCACAGGACAAGCAAGCTCGCTCGCCAAGAATCTGTTCATTGCATTTTAAGGAAAGCGACATCGAGATTTCAATTTCATACGGTTAGTTCGCATTTGAAGCGTCTTGCCGATAGGAAGAGACAGTGTGATGAACAACCGCAAGCCAAGAAAGTTTGCCCCAGAAAGCTCGAATTTGAGGACTCCATAGAGACTTGTGTGGATTTTAGAGCTGATGTGGCTTCAGTAAACCATGATCACTCGTACTTTTGCATCGAGGAACAGGCAACACCGACTATATGTTGCCCAGGTTGCTCCAGGGGTGGGGGTATTTGTCCCAATTTTTTGCCCTACCCGAGGGGCTTTAGCATGTATTTGTCACGGCAGCTGTGACAAATGCCCCTGGGTGCCTGGGGGTCGACCCCTCGGGATGGCCGCTGATACCCGCATTACCACTGGTTTGACTGCAAAAACAGGTGAAGAGCCCGATGAATGGATTTGTCCTTCATATGAAAAATAACCTAAAAAATCAGTTTTCCACGAAAAAAACTCCCTCGATTGCGGCCAAGCCATATTTCTCTAGCAGAGCATACTGTAAATTAAAAACATAGGTCGCAACGTCACGCAACATTGCGTGATTTTCCAAACGTGACACGCAATTGCTGCATTATTTTTAAAACTTAGAACCTACATGGCCCTGTAGTAATGAAAGAGGGCTTCATTTGCAAGCACTGTAGACTTCAACATAAGAAGAACTTAATAAATCGCTCTTTCAGTTTTCATCTCAGTGTATAAATTATCTAGCCAGAACGAAAAAAAATTAATATACGCATGAGTTGGAGCCATTCCTGTTTGAGGTTAAATACACGAATGGCTCCAGTCTCTGGTCGTCCGCCTAAACTGACTAAATGAGTTTTGTCAGCGGATGACTTTTTCATCGCCGGAATATCGCTGAACGACCTCGCTGAACAAGATAGACTCTGACTTCTCTTCGTTATGTAAGTAGCCATTTCTTGGTTGACTCATCGGTGTTTTTACACTGATATTTCATCGTTCCGCTTTGAGAAACGCAGTTACCAATACCCATGAGCAAGGAGTTAAGATATAGCTTATTAACTTTTACTATTTTTATCATTCAATCACAGGTCGAAGCCATTCCTGTATTTAGTCGCTAGTTGATTCAAACTGACCACCATTTTGATTGCGTCTTTAATTTTGTTGGCAACGATTAATATGAAAACGAGGCTGCGCAATACCTAACCGAGTCCGCAGTGTGAACGATTCTTGAGCAACACATGTTTTATAAAACCATGTTTAAAAAAACTACGTTTAATGAAACTTGTTTAAATTGGTGAGAACAGGGCATTAGATTAAAGTTTATGGTTTCATTCAGACTGTTTTTAGAAACCATCCTATTTTTAATATTCTCAATTTGTACTCTCACTTCAAATATATCATTGTTATGCATACTCTGAAAATAATGCACTAAACTATCAAGAGACAGTACTTCGAGAAGAACACACGTACCTTGAGGCTACCCTCTACCATACAAATCTCTGCCGTGAAAATCAAATATTTTTAATCCCATATTACTATTACAGTAATACACCCTACTGTTAATATGAAATTGGTGTAGCTTTCAAATATGAGCAACTCAAAGGCTCTTGGTAAAAATGTACAGTGCTGATATCCCTCTATAGCAACTTCTTGGTGAACAGTACCAGAGTAGCTTTCACTGTATTCCAGTTGATAATCAGTATCGAACACATTTAATGCTGTTGGTAATTCTGACAGCATTGAATATGCCTGTCTGGCTAATCATGACATACTTGAATAAAGCTGACTTCCAATATTCATTATTTGTACAAGATCATTTGCAGGGCTGATCCCTTGTGTGTCATTGGAAATCAAAAAACACAAACTCATTGCAACACATTGTTGTCCTGCATTCTGTCCAAAAACTAACTCGTTACCTTGACTATAGGAAGCTACTATCGTTTTGTTTGGGTCAACATGTGTTGGAGGGCCAGGATTTTTTTCTATGTCTCTACTTAATTTATAGTTGCAGTAATTTGCTACATGAGCTTCATTCTTGCAAGAACACATCAGTTTGTTACAAGAAAACAATTTTAAATATCGACTGGCACGATATTTTACCTTTCATATACATTGGCGAGTTCTTTTACGACAGTTAAACTTAAATGTCTTTTTATTCAATAGTTTTTTAGCGTTAACATAACAGTATAAAGCAGATGACATGGGAATACATGGGAGAATACGTGCATAGACAAATTTTTCTAACCAACCGACAGTTGGTCGGCCGACAGTATCTTTCGGGAACTGTTCTTCACTTTTACCGACGAAGGGAAGCTTTCGCGGCGCAAAATTAGCACAGACACTGTGTATAAGACAGGTCACTGACAGGTTACCAACAGACGGCCAACTGTTGGCCAACTGTCGGTCGGCCGACACTTTAGTCTGCAACATTACGAAAACTGTTGGCCGACAGTATCTTTGGGAACTGTTCTTCACTTTTACCAATTAAAGTGTAATTTGGTATTCTAAATAGGCACAAGTAAATTTTCCACAAACAATAAATGTTGAGCTCATAGGGTGTGTGCAGTTTAAAGTATTTCAAAAATTTACAAGTGCTTATCATATGAGAAATCGTGTTATTAATTATTCATAATGTATACATGAAAGATACACATTCACAGAAAATCATCAAACTGAAGGCAGATAAATTTGACAGTATTGACTAAATGAAGTGTGTGCCATCAAAATTTGTCCTTCAGCTGAATTCTTACTCAGGAATGCAATTTTGTTCATGTTTATCAATATACATAAAAGTATCCAAGCTTTTGTTTATTTTTGTCAGCTACTGCATGTATCAATCAAAACAACCTACTTTGTGTAAATCTGATTGGTTTCTAATGTGATCTATTGTTGCTGAGCCTAGTTTATTTTATTTTGTACATGAGTTATTCTTTTTCACTAATGATAAATGAAAAAGGCTCCTAGCTATTTTCAGCCGATCAAAAAAGTGTAATTTTTCATGTATATCAGTATTGTGATTTATGACAGAATTCACCAGACCAAACAAGTTGTAGTCTACCAAATAAAGGCCTAATACACGTGTATTGCTACCAAGTATAAATACCAATGCTTATCTGAACTATTATGAAGAGAATCTAGAAGACTGCCAAGTTTGAAGGAAGTCATAAAATGTTAAGGTCTGAATAATTCTGGCCATAACTTGGAAAACATAACACTAATCACATTTCAGTTAACATTAAAACACTAGGCTCCTATTCATATTTTAATAAAAGCGAAACAACTTTGTTACTGAGTTTTAATGGATTACTCCCCAAAGTTTGGAATCAATCACAATAGACATTTAGTACCATGTCAACGACAAACCGAAGTTTCAGTTAGGCGTTAGACGTTTGTGACTTTCATTGGTTTAGCTATGTAAACATGAAAGTATAATTTGATTTAATGAGGCCGTCAAATTGAATTTCCAGACAATAGCAGTGTTTGATTTTCTAATGGCAACAAAAAAGTCCTATTTTCACTCATTGGCTAGAAATTGTTGATTCTATTCGTATTCGATGGCATGTAATGCCGTGGGTGGCAGGGTATTCTGCAGTTTAACCAAAATTTTATCTTAGCATGTACTAAAAAGACTGGTTGAGTAATTTTCTTACTGAGCATGTGGTATAAACAGAAATTCAGGATAAAAAACGTTCCGGTAAATGACGGTAAATACGTGAAATGTGACCGCACAGAGAGTCAATAACGACTCCTAAGTTGAAATGTGGCGCGACCTGCACTAAAGGTCCAGACCGTGAAATGTTGGCCTGTGAGAGCACAACTCCACGCTGTAATCCGCACTTAGAAGACAAGCCGACTGTAGGAAAGCCAGCGTGTGAAATCCAAGCAACAAAGATGAACGAAAAACTAGATAAAAAAAACGGTCTTCGACAGTGTGTTACAGCCACCATTGCAAAATGGTCGCTTTCTGAAGCGAGAAATCTGTAATTTGAAGCTTACGTAACTTAGCCGAGCGTAGACTGGAACCTATCTTCGACGATAGTAAACCACGTGACAAGCGCTCTGATCACCGTGACAAACCCAGCCAGGAATAAATATCTTGGTTTATGACATAGCGTGGTTTACACCTTGTGTAAGCCACACAACGAACCAAAACCACCTATTACGCAGGGTAACTGAACTTCTACCACCCCTGTTAAAAGTTTAGCCAAGGCAGAGTAAAAAAGGAGAAAAACTCCGCTTTTGCTCGATTATAAGCCATATTTGAAGCAATTTATTCTTCATCTACCTATAACTTGTGACAAACTGATAGGAAAACCAGAAAATATGAAAACAGATCGGAAATCTTGTCTGCTGTTTAATTAGTTTTAAGGTTACAAACTGCGAAAAACTAGAAAATAAATAATTCACAGGTTCACTAGAAATGAACTATACGAAAAACTGAGTTAAATCATGTTATAACTACTACTTTGCTGAATATTTGACAAAAAGTCAGTTTGCTGACTACTTGAGAATATACAACGGTGTTAAATCTACATCCTCTTCCGTTACTACAATCGGTTTCAATTAGGTTCCGGTGATGATAATCACAAAGTTCCAACTCGGTAATTGTTAAAACGAAAATGATAAAAGATCAAGAAACAACAGAAAGAAATTAAGAAATGCAAGCAAGACCTGCGGCGGTTTTGACAGTTCCATCAAGTCAACGCATGAGGGCGAAGAGAAATGCAATGATGCCACCGATCATTGCAACGATCGCTGCTGTATCCCTGTCCGTTAGGGTTTGGGCTTGTTTTAATCCAATGGCCTCGGTGTACATGTTGCAGAAGTTCTGGCAGTTGTTGCAAAACTTGAAATAGTTCCCAAAACGTTTCATCACTGCAACTGCTTTGCCAATTAGATCCTTTCCAGTGGCTTCGATTTCTCCGAGGTATTCCATCTTAGGCTTCAGAGCTTTGTCAATTGGCCTCGTCCTTGGGTAAATATGATTCTTACCGTCAACTGGGATGAAACCAAGCTCTACAGAGACGAATTGCTCGTCATTTGTTGTAAGAACAATGGATTTGTGGGCACCAAAACTGCCTCCTTGAATAGAGTAAACTTTGTACTTCAGCTTCGTGTTCAAGTTTGGTAATAGATTTTGTTTGTCAAGCTCGATCAGTTGCTGCTTGTATTTCTCCAAATACTGCTCTGTATCGAGCATCGGTTCAGCGAACACATCATCACACAACGCCATGGCGAGGGTCTTTCCTCCTGTTACTGTAAAAATCTGATCTTCACAGGTTGTTTAAGCCTCGAAATCTCGAAGTGAATGCCCAGTAATTCAACGCGAGCGTTATGCTAATTAGGTTAGTTGGTGCGATGCAATTGGATAATCTCGATTTCGGAGAAATTTCTTCTCGCAATTGTTTCGACGCTCTTTCTCAGAAATGCAAAAATATCAATAATCCTTCTGACGCAGATGTTTCCAGAGCTCGATACGTTCCTTTATAGTTTTGACCATGGTGTTGCAAAGCATTTCAGAGAAACAGAGAGTAACCGCGTCAGGTTACTAAAAACAAATTCTCTTTTGCAAAACGCTGTGTTGTATGGAAAAGCTGATAAGTTCCACATTTCTGCACACTTCCGGTAGAGTAAACCTGCTTTCGGTTTCTGTTGTAATGCTTTCAAAAATATGCTAAACTTTACCTGATCGACCTGGGACCTTATTAAGCGCCATTTTGTTGTGCATTCTTAAGTAAAACGCGAATTTTCTCCTTTAGGTATAATATGAGGAAAACAGATACGTTTTGAAAGGGGCATCGATGAAGTGGGAATACAAGGAAGAGCACCCTTTCGAAAAACGAACAGAGAACATTGTGATGGAAGAGACGCGTTTCTGAAACGACGATCTTCGTCGCTGATATTTTAGTTCTAGGTATAACGCCGAACGTTCTAAAATATTCTAATGATACTTCCTCATTTCCTGTCAATTTTCTATATTCCTAAATGCATTCTTTTAGCGACGAGTTATCCCTCTTCTGTTCCCTTTCCTAAACAAATTCGTCAACAGGTTTACCTGAAGCTCTACGAGAGTGATTTAATCAAGGTCAGCCGTTGCCTACCCATATATAGCACATTACGCCACAAATCTACCCAATTAATATTCGTGAGTGGTATGTTAATGTCACCTTAAAGCTTTCCTGGATCGACTGATTCGAAGTGAGAAGAGGTTGGTAAGGAGAAGAGTTAGGATCAAGATCACAAACCCGCAAATTGAACATTTTGACAAAACACTAGGGAGAAATAGGTAAAGCCATAATTGCATCAAATGATATCAAGATAGGATAATGTAGGTTTCACTTGCAGCCTCACCACTCATGGGTTAAAAGAACGAACCAAAACCACTTATTAGGCAGGGTAACTTAACTTCTATACGACGGGCTTTCGGGGGGGGGGAAGTTTCTGATTGCGATTAAAACACGATCAATAGTTTGTATATGTCGATCATTTCAACAATGCCGCCTCGCACAAAACTCGTTAGTAGGAAGTTCCCATGCTTATTTTCTATCTTAAAGCGATTTTCAAAGTCATGCAAACCGGAGATAAAATCCGGCGAGGTTTTCTAGAACTGTCGCGAATTCTACCACCCCTGTTAAAAGCTTAGCCAAGGCAGAGTATAAAAAGAGAAAAATTCCGCAATTGCTCGATTATAAGCCATATTTGTAGCAATCTATTCTTCATCTACCTTTAACTTGCGACAAACTGATAGGCAGAAAATGTGAAAACAGATCGGAAATCTTGTCTGCTGTTTAATTAGATCTAAGGTTACAAACTGCGAAAAACTAGAAAATAAATAATTCACAGGTTCACTAGAAATGAACTATACGAAAAACTGAGTTAAATCATGTTAAAACTACCACTTTGCTGAATATTTGAAAAAAAGTCACTTTGCTGACTACTTGAAAATATTCAACGGTGTTAAATCTACATCCACTTCCGTTACTACTATCGGTTTCAATTAGGTTCCTGGTGATGATAATCACAAAGTTCCAACTCGGTAATTGTTAAAGCGAAAATGATAAAAGATCAAGAAACAACAGAAAGAAATTAAGAAATGCAAGCAAGACCTGCGGCGGTTCTGACAGTTCCATCAAGTCAACGCATGAGGGCAAAGAGAAATCCAATGATGCCACCGATCATTGTAACAATCGCTGCTTTATCCCCGTGCGTTAGGGTTTGGGCTTGTTTTAATCCAATGGCCTCGATGTACATGTTGCAGAAGTTCTGGCAGTTGTTGCAAAACTTGAAATAGTTCCCAAAACGTTTCATCACCGCAACTGCTTTGCCAATTAGATCCTTTCCAGTGGCTTTGATCTCTCCGAGGTATTCCATCTTAGGCTTCAGAGCTTTGTCAATTTTCCTCGTCACTGGGTAAATATGTTTCTTACCGTCAATTATGATGAAACCAAGCTCTACAGAGACGAATTGCTCGTCATTTGTAGTGAGAACAATGGATTTGTGGGCACTAAAACCGCTTCCATGTTCAAGTCTGGTAATAGATTTTGTCTGTCAAGCTCGATCAGTTGCTGCTTGTATTCCTCCAAATACTGCTCTGTATCGAGCATTGGTTCAGCGAATACATCATCACACAACGCCATGGCGAGGGTCTTTCCTCCTGTTACTGTAAAAATCTGATCTTCACAGGTTGTTTAAGCCTCGAAATCTCGAAGTAAAAGCCCAGTAATTCAACGCGAGCGTTATGCTAATTAGGTAAGTTGTGGCGATGCAATTGGATAGTCTCGATTTTGGAGAAATTTCTCCTCACAATTGTTAAAAACCAATGAGGCTCTTTCTCAGAAATACGAAAATATCAATAATCCTTCTGACGCAGATGTTTTCGACCTCAAAATGCAAGCCACCCCAGCGATTTCCGGGAACACACACTTGTCGTACACGTCCGAGAAGATTAACTACTTGAAGATGTCAACTTTTGAAAGTTATTCAAACGTGATGTTTTAAGTTCAGCCATGAAAATTCTTGGCTACCCGCAAAAAAACTAGCCAGGATTTATTCAATGAAATACCCTCTCTAATGCTTCGACATTGCATGTATTTACAATGGTGTATATTCTTCAAGGGACGCCATGCACGAACATTTTCAGGAACACACCTCTGAAGGTCTACAAAAACCTAATAGCAAACAATGACTCTGTTCGGAGGTCAAAATAGGACAGTAGTAGAAATTCGAAGAAATAGTAATGGTAATGTTCTCGAACCAGAAAGTCTCAGAAAATCGTTATAAAACCTTGCTAAAGGTTGATTTTCGGGAGGTCTTTCCTCTGTCAGGAAAAACACCAACAAATTCCTTTAATGAGTCTCTTAACTTTGGACTTTTATTTCAATCGTACAAGCCAAGATCTGGTGGAGAGTTTACATATAGATGCCATGATTAATGCATTGTCTTCACAAAATGCTCTTTGATCGAGGGTTTTGCAGTTTGGATACAGAATTTTTAGAAATTATGAATGAACCCTGAGTAGACTTAATACTCTAAGTATGTTAGTAATGTCTTTTTTTTATTGTCACTGATATCCCCAATTAACAGTGGTAATGTTATCGTAAAGAAGATTGACCTTGAACATACACGTTAGTACTATTGTGCATATTTGGAAAATTTATTATTATTTTATTATCATCATTATTATTTTTATTATTATTATTATTATTTTGGTAAACTTTGTTGATAAAATAACTCAATGTATATATCAACATCATTGTGGGCACGGCTTGGGCAGTGTGGACTAGGATATAAAATATATATATGTACACGTTGTATAATTTTATGTAAATCTAAAATAACGAAAAGTAATCACAAATACACTCTTGGTAAGATAAATACACTAAAACTTCTCATTGTTGACGTACTTAAGAGACTCATCATATAAAGCTAAAATCTGTTCTTTCAACTATTGTTACACGCACGAAAATCTTTGTACAATTTCACATACAGTTCTGTGAAATAACCCATTTCTGGGAACGTTCAATAGTTAACCTTGCTACTTCCGGCCTAAATAACATATTCAGTTCTTTATCTAGGGCTTTGTAGTATGTACCAAGATAGTCAAAAACTATGGTGATAAGCTTCACTTTGTAACCTGGATACAAGTTCTCTATCCCCAATCTAAGTTCTACATACTTGTTCTGTTTGTACTTGGTTCTTTCAGCAATTCATTAATATTATTATTATTATTATTATCATCATTATTATATAACTATTACCATCAATGTAGGAATTATCAACATTACTTTTGTTTAACAAGACTCTTTTGTTTCCTCAGCTTGGTTTCTTCTGTAGATAAATAGTGTTTACAAATCGTCCGATGGGCTTACGACCATGCAGACTAAAGTTAAGAGCTATGATAACTCAGTGAATACTTTGATGCTCTAGCACTGTAAATTGAATACTTATCTCCTATAATTCTGGGTTTTTTCTATATTTCCAACCTGCAGAATCGATCAAAGTCGTAAACATGTTCTGTTCTCCGTTAAGTTTCATACGCTTACACGAGGGTCTCAATAGGGTTAACCATAAGCCATAAAACGGCCAAAAAAATTTAGCCGTCAGGAGTAAAAGTTGCCGGAAAAAATTTTAATTGTTACTCGTGAAAAATAGGGTGTAGCTAAGGGGCTGGTCCTGGGGTGCCCGTGACCCCCCATATGTAATTCTTTTTTTCAAGCAAACAACGTACATTACTCAGGTGGCGAACATTGGTGAGAACCCTCTGTTTTGACACTGTGGTTCCCCCCCCCTTTGAAAAATCCTGGCTACGCCCCTCATTATTTATCGCCCCGGAGGATTTGGGGGTGATTACACGGTTTTAAGGGGAATGGAGGAGGGATCAGTCGTTGCTAACAGAGTGCATTTGGAAATGTAGAAAGTTGACGGGAAATGAGGAAGTATCATTAGAGTATTATAAACTTACGGCGTTTTACCTAAACCTAAAACATCAGCGACGATGATCTTCATTTCAGAAACGCGTCTCTCTCGTTACACTGTTCTCAAAGACGTTCCAGTACGCATTTTAATTAGTTCTAAGGAGTTCACTGTGGTGTCACGACGAAACAATTTCTTAAAAAGGAAATTAAAACTGTGTCTGTAACTTGAGCTTTGAAAAGCGTAGATAAACGGGTTTACTGAACAACTGAGAAGCGTAAGATACTGTGCAACGTGCCGGAGGCCTGTTAGATACGCAATCTTCATCCTGTTGAAATTCAGTATGATCAAAAGACCGTAAGGGACGAAAGCTGTGAAGAACACCACACTTAACAAGATCAGCAGGATCACCAATCTTCTCTTTTCTCTTGCTTCTTCTGGGGTTTCTGCTCTTTCACTTTTGTTGCTGCAAATTGTCTTCTTGACGTAAAGGCCGTATACAATTTGGGAATAGCAATAGGCGATAATGATGAACGGAATAAAAGTCAGAACAATAAAAAGACAACTGACGTAGATTGCCAATTCTTCTAAATCTGCATGGCAAGTACCCGCTGTTGAATCATAAGAGAAGCCTGCAAACAGCGGCGTCACCATCGCTATGGCAACGACCCAAATGGCAGTGATAACGTAAGTAATGTTGCCATTAGTAAGCCTGCCGGAGTTGATAAGCGGTTTCACCAGAGCGTGGTACCTCTCAAAGGCTAGGAGAGTCATGGTCAATGACGTCACTAAGAGTGTTACTATGACAATAGTGTTGTTATAAATGAACGCGCAAAGAAAACTGAGAAGTGCCTTCGGTGAAGTGGGACGGATTTTTCTAATGAGAAAATGGATTGCCGTGAACACTAACGTAGTAACATCGGCGGCTGCCACATTTACCAGGAGGTAATTGGTAGCTGTTCGCATACTGCGTATCATTTTGACCACAGTTATGACAAGCGAGTTGCCTACAACACCAACTATGATTATTAACCAGAAGAAGACCATGTCGACATCTACAGTGGAGCGGCCTGACTGGTTTGAAGAATCCTGTGGCGCGCTTGTGTTTGTCATTGAGCTATTATTTGATATAGAAGACATTGTGTATCTTCAGCTACCACTTATCCGCTACAGCCGAGGATTGGTTGTGTTTTACCTGGAACAAAGTATCAAAAAGAAAGAAAAGATGTAAAATCATTTAGCTGACTCAGCCAGTACGGAGAGATGCTTAGTGCTGATGGATGCTGTTTAACTTTCACACAGACACAGAACCCTTCTTTGCTTGGCTGATTTGATTTCTTGACTAACACAACACTAACATCTGATATTTTTTCAAAATATTTATTCGAAATTAACCCATATCTAACTATGAATATATGAAAGTCATAAATTTGAACTGCGGATAAAGACGTGATCTTCGCAATGGAGAACACTACTTAAGCAGTAGCGAAAGTAAGGCCTGAAAAAAAATTCAGGCCTGTACGGGATCCATGACCCCTGCAATACCGGTGCAGTGCTCTACCAACTGAGCTAACATCAAATAAACCCGTTAAGTAGTGAATAAATGACTGTAAATATATGAAAGTCATATGTTTGAACTGCGGATAAAGACGTGAATATAAAAACGATCTTCGCATTAATGAACACTACTTGTGCAGTAATGAAAATAAGGCCTAAAAAAATTCAGGCCAGTACGGGATTTAAACCTATGACTCCAGCGATACCGGTGTAGTGCTCTACCAACTGAGCTAACGAGCCAACTGAGAGCTGAATTTTTTTCAAGCCCTATTTTCAATACTGCTCAAGTAGTGTTCATTACCGCGAAGATCGCTTTCATACTTACGTCTTTATCCGCTGTTTAAATATATGACTTTCATATATTCACAGTCGTTTATTCACCACTTCATGGTTTTATTTGGTACCAACATAATGACCGCCCCCAGCTTTCATAGCCCATACCTACAGAAGCAACAATTTTTAGCCACTTTTTGCCTTTTTAAAGTGGAGAACAACAAATCAGTTAGAATCCAGGTCAATCAAAGGACCGCAATACTGAATGTTGTTATTGGTCAAGCCCAAATAATCGCAAATTCCTTCAGAAAAAAACTATACTCAAGAAGGGATTGTAGAAGAAACTAGAAAGGTTTCACAAAATGGCGTATGTTAACGTACTCTATTTACTAGAGGATCGATCAAAAATTGGAATCGTTTCTATTAACCAAACTCATTATCGCATTGAAAAATAACATTTTTCGAAAATAAATAAATGTTACCCTCAACACCTCTCAGGGATTTGCAGGATTTTTTGAGCAGAAATGAAGATGTTGTTTTAAAACTTGAATTGAAACGGTATTCTTCAATAAGTTTTAGTAATTCGAACTAAACATCACGGCTCTGTATGATATTTTAGAAATTTCTCCAAATTTCCTCTCGTAGATCCTTTAAAACAGTCTAAAATGATACTGCAACTATTTCAGTTCTCAGGAAATTACATGGGCCCTTCCGTTTTCTTCTCCAGATCCACATTCTATCTTGACCTTCGATAAACAAAAAAAATAAACGTATAAAAGCGAAAAATATAAATAAACAAGTGAAAAAGGCGCTAGCTAATCAACGTTGGATAAAAGAGCCTAGAAAACTGAGATTCGACGGTAAGATAGTTAAAAACCAGTTACTCGCAAAACTACGCTGTAGAGCTGAATAGTAATGATTACTTTCGTTAAAAAAATTTTCTTTCATGAGAGAAAAAAAAGCGAAACAATGCTAAGTATCATGATTTGTGTTGCAAAACGATCACGAACCCACAACCTTCCTCCAAGGTTTATCTGCTGGCAGATAATGTAATTATTTTTTTAAACATTCACACTCTGGCAATGAGATAGCGAAAACATATTGACGATAGCATTTACGGTATTCGCAATAACAGCGACACAGTCAAAATATAACTTTCAGGTGGCAAAAATACGAAACACACTCAAAGCTTACAATTTTTCTCTTTTTCATGTTTGCGCAACCGTCGAAAAGCGAGCCCCTTCGATAAGTTCATTGCCATGTACAAAGTGAGGATACAGGGTAAAATCCATAAATTCTACTGACGAAAATCACTGTAATCAATGATGAACTCTACAAAGCTTTTTGTGAATGAAAATGAGATCGCAAAGTCAGTTCACCATTCAACGAGTTCTGAGTGTTAAAATCACAATTTCTCTGAGGCAAAGTCATAGCGCCTTTGATTTTGCTTCCGGTGTTATTAGAATTTGGCTAGAGTCTCAAGATATAGCCCTAAATCAACTTATTTTGGTGACGGCTTCATTAAATAAGAAAATTTGGGCCAATCTTACCTCTTGATCTCGGTTTACAGAGAGCTTTCGAAGTTCGTATCTGTGTGCGTTTGACGTTTTCCATGCCTCGCATTCATTATGAATGAAATTTTTTCCTAACATGTTAGTGTTTTAATGAACGGAGGAAGCAGGAGACAACTTGTCAATGTTTCGATGCCTCTTCTGTCGTAATGAGCAATAATAGATATTGCCGCGGTACATATGGATCTGCATTTCCCGAAATCTAGCCTATGGCAAAAATTTTCGATCTGTCGATTTAATTCTTAAAGTTTTCTCAAGGCAAATTTGACTGCCCTGAGCAAAATGGGCCGAAAACATGTATGGTAATAAAATTGGCGGAAAGGTAACTTGCTCGTGGTCTCTTTTTTAAAATTCAGCGAGTGCCGACATGTTGCAATTTAGGATGAAATTTTACAGCTGCCGAGTCATTACGAGAAGTCATGGAAAATGAATTTATACTATGACCCTAGATAACAAGATTCCGCATCGTACACGAAGGGATCCCACTACATTTTAGGTTGCAAATTTGTGATTTCAGTCTTTTCGTTTAGCACTGTCCTCAGCTATACCATTCGTTTCCTTTAAATCCCTTTTTTAATTGTGATAACCGAGTGTGAGCACTTGGAGGAGTACTCGAGTACATTAGCCTAAAATCAGATGTTGTTTACTTCCTTGTAATGCATTTTAACCTGACAACCACTTGGAGCTTTCATTTCGGCTAACGATGTGTTCAATCATAATGTAGCTCTTCAAATGCTTGATTCCGCATCATACACGAAGGGACTCCACTACATTTTAGGTTGCAAATTTGTGATTTCAGTCTTTTCGTTTAACACTGTCCACAGCTATAGGATTCGCTTCCCGGTTTTAAATCATTTTTTAAATTGTGGTAACAGAGTGCGAGAACTTGGAGGAATATTCATGCATATGCCTAAAATCAGATGTTGTTTACTTCCTTGTAATGCATTTTAACTTGACAACCACTTGGAGTTTTCATTTCAGCAAACAATGTGTTCAAGCATAATGTAGCTCTTCAAATGCTTGAGAGACCTTTCCTTTTTCTACTTAAGCTCTTTATGATTTTTGATATGCATAAATGCTCTCAATGTTAAACAAATAGACTTGTACTGTTGTGGCTAAAGTTTCCCCGTAAGGGGTTATCGTTCATCTAAAGGGAAACTTCCAAAATTCTCAGGTTTCTTTAAAATAATCTCGCTGTGTTATTTGAGGCGAAAATTCCGCTAATTTTTATTAAAACCACGCATATGTCGGATCAGCTACACAAATTTGTCACAACATCGGTAGTAATTTGGTTGGTAAACTTTCAAATTAATATTTGAATTTTTTTGCAGAAGATTTAACAATGCCCAAAAAGAATGTTGTTTATCCTATACCTATAAAGAATTGGACACACTAACCGACGAGGTATGACTTTCAGGAAGACCAATATCTAGGTGAAAACTAGATCTTTAACGCTCTCCATAATTTTAGTGTTTCTCTTTTCAGTGGCAAAGTATGCCCTTGAACTGGCACAAAAAAAAGAAACCTAACTCTATGTAAAGACTGCGCAATAAATTACTCATGAAAGATTATCTTTTTCTTTTGTTCTATGCCGGCCTCAACGATCTTAGAACAAGTTTCTTATGACAAAATCATGAGAATAATTTATGCCTTTTTGCGCCATCGGCACCCACGCGAGCAAGGAAAAATAAAAAAGCGAGGGCTACACTTAAAAAGGTACAAGAATAAATAGGAATACAGAAGATTAGGCAGATTCAGCATTAGTTTTAGAGTTCTAAATATGCCCAAATGATTCCGTAGTTTCTCTTGAGTCGACCCAACTTGAATCTAATCACCATCAGTTTTGAATTACATCCTCGAGACAAAATTTCAAGAAACCGAAGAATCATAAAATTTGTGTTGAATTATCGAAGTATTTTAATTTTGAACGAAATCCGATAAGAACTTGGTAGTGATGTAGTCTGGATTTCATTCTTTTGATTGTGAACCAAACTCTAGGCTCTCGAACCAACGAGATTAAATAAGATAAGAAGAAGAAGGCGAGTTTATTCGTACAAATGCGCTTATGTTCGTTTTCTGCTTTTCTAAAAGTTTGTTTTTTAGACAACACAATGCTTGAAAAAACACATTTGCATCTTGAGACTAAGCAATTTTGTCATTAGTATATCAGGTGCCCCGATCAAATATAGCAAACTTTAAATTGCCTTTTGCTTTTTCGCTAAGACCAAACCAATTAATCCTATTATCTAATTCAGAAAGTAAAAGAAAAGAAAGAAAAGCCTAATTTTTCGTTTCGGGTTTTTACATTGAGGTCAATTTCCATCTTAAAAAGTGATTGGAAATCTCAACCTAACATCATGTAACTGATCAAAAGGTCAAAAAAACTAGCACACTCTTTCACAAAGTGAATGAAAATTGAAGCGAATTCTACAAAGCAAGAAGGAGCAGTAGGTAAGGGGAAAGGACGAAGAGATATTGATTGATGTTTTAGCTTTAGAAAATTAGTTGAAATATTTTGCCTCCAACAGTTTTAAATCTCTTTTAATCATGCTAGCACGGGCTTAAAGCCAAAATTTTTTTCCAGAAAACCTACACGAACAGTTTTAAGTTTCAGAAAATGGGATGTCAGCAGTCTCTATAAATACATTTTTACGTCTAGATACTCTGAAAAATCTGTGTATATCGAAAAAAATTCACATCATAGGAGAGAAGCGTTGATATTTCTATCGTTTTGATCTGACCTTAAATAAAAGCTGAATATTTGGCGGGTTACGCCAAGAAGAATTCAAATATAAATGTAACAACGTTTTGACTGACAAATAAGACCTTGGCCTGAAGTATAAATTTCACACAGATTTTAAAGTGATAATATTAATTTGTCCCACGCGCGTGGGATCGGATCAATCAGACAATTAAGTTTTCTTTAATCTTCACCTTTTAAACATCGGAAACAGGGCTACAAATCAATAACGTTGGACTGATATTCTCGAGGGTCAACCGACCACCGACGATTGCAAAAATGTTCGTCAATTACATTCAGTTCGTGATAACGAGTCGCCTGCGCATCAAAGTCAGTCCTTTCAATCCTCGGCCTGTCGTGAGGGTTTTGAGCAACACTGTGCTCTATCAACCAGCATTGCGCATGTACTCATTTATGTTACCGTCACCCTTGGAACATTTCATTGTCGTTGTAGTAGTAGTAGCGGCTGAGAATTAATAGAAAATTACCTGATAAGCAGAAACAGCTTCATGGGAGGTTGAATCACTCTACGATCGAAGAAGACGCAAGAAAAGTTTTCAATTTGAACATATCGATAAAAACTGGTTTTTAATCGTGTCGTGAGATTTTAACAGCCGAAATTTTAATCTTTTTAGGCTCATGTATTTTCCTGTAGGTATCCTAGGGCAAATATCCGGCTTAAGTTCTGAGGTAAACTTTATAGAGAGGCTTCAGCTAAGCTTAATTAAGACTAGGCAAGGTCGAACCTGTCTTTATAATCTTACATGGGCGCTTGGTGGAAAGAAGAGAATACGATATTCAGATTGACTGACTGAAAACGAGTCTTGAAAAAATCGTCTTTTCTTTTTTTTTCGTAAACTGGAACCTTTCAAGAGTAGTTATTTGCGTCAAATTAAATTAATTTTCGTTAGTGATTTTGACGAACCAAGGCGACGTAACGAACTAAAATACCAGCGGCATCAGGAGTCCGTCATAGTCAAGTACTAAGTTCTCACGAATTAACCTTGAGAGAAGGAACAGATTCTAATCGAAAACTTTAGCAAATCGATAATAGTTGAGCGTGGCCTGTACTCTTATCGCCAGTGATATTCGTCATCAGAGTGTTCAAAATGTTATGGATACACAGGGCACAGTCGAGTGGGTCCATAACAAGTTTTGATCATTGTGATGACGAAGATCGTTGAGGACAAGAGTACAAACCAGGTTGAACCACTGTCGATTTGTTTTTTTACCACAATATCGACATCAAACAAAGTGATTCTTCAGTGCTTGACTAAGATCGGAACACGTTGACACGAACAGCTATGTCTATACTCTCATACACAAAGGTAAACTGGCCAATCAGATTGCAACATTGCTGTCAATTGTGCTAAAAAAAAAGCAGTATAACGAGATTCCTGTCCTTCCCACCATAAAAAATATTACCACTGTAGGAAGGAAATGCCAAATAACAGTTTGCTGACGTAGAAAAGAATCCGAATACAAACGCAGATGATTCTGTTGAATTGGGGCTTTCTTTTTTGAATTGAGCGAAATTTTATACAATCCACAAAGGATCACTTAGATTTGATTTCTACATCAGATAACGAAAGAAAAAAATATCAAAAGCCGAAAGTTCGTTGTAGCTGTATGATTAAGTTGCAATACTTACTTCTCAATGCAAAAAGAGACCAAAAACAAACAGACAAATCGCAATGATAAACAGTGGCCTGATTAAATTTTTTACATTGCGAATTGTATCCCAGTATCACCTAATTTCTCTCGGTAGTCAGCCTGATGCAACGCTATATTCTCATAACTAGAAAGAAAAGAAAAGTACTTGGGCGGTGAAGAGAATTGCTTTGTACCATTGTAATTTGAATTTGAATTAGATTTTCATTTGGAATTATATTTGGAAGCATCAGAAGTACCGAGCAAAAATGCAATTTTTTTCCATTCTGTAAGAAGAAATTAATTCCTTTCGGCTTTCTAGAAAATTTTCTCCTAAAACAACATAAACACCTTACTATGATTGCCACGAAAAATCACTCGTGCATTTTCCTCTGAGTGCATCTAACGTACAGGTAAACAACACTTGTAAATCGTTCACCTCAAGCCGGTACTCGCCGGAGAAGTTTATTTTCCGCGGTTAATGTTGGTAAAATTTGATAGAGCTTACCTTGAGTCAGAGTATATCCCTCAGCTTCAAATATGATCCACTTTCTACGATCACCGTTTTCGACAAAAAGCGCTGGCTTCCCGCCTCGCTAGCTTTGGCTATTATAACTCAAGAATTTAAACTCAGCATATCGAACAATCTCGAAGATTTTCTTTCAGAATTTTTGTCTTTGTTTCTGCATCCAGCAACACTTAGTCCTGCAGGAAGTATATTTGCTAAGATGAAGTTGGAGGCTTTATACTCTATTGCATAAAGTCTCAGATCCTTTTGTAATTTTTACAAAGCGGGAGATTTGGAATGACAGTCACGTATAGATGGTTTAATGTCTGTGTGTCACCATCCCGACAGAGAACACTGTTACTCTCTATTAAAAGCAAGGTCTACAATTGGTTGAAAAACATCGTCACGCCTGGTAAACATCAGGCATCCAGGAACTTTTCAAATGAATACGGTAAAATGCATATCCGGGATCACGTAGAGGGACATCTGTCTTCTGAGCGCAGATGACGTACGTGCGATGACAGTTTCATTGTTATTTGTGGTCGATTTTACGTGGAGATATGAATTTAATTATGCAAAAGAAATTGAGTCACGCTTCATATTTTGCCAATTTCTAACTCGAATCATCAGAAAAAAAACGAGAGCGAAAAAGAATCGGTCAAAAAAATAGTTGGAATTTATAAGATGCCCCCTAGGCCGATGGAAGAGCGTGATTATTGGCACATTAAAATTTATTTACATCGAATCAGATCGAATAAAGAAAACGAAATGGACAACGAAATCGCCGTCATACAAACAAATTAAATTTTGATAGATTGTGGTTCAACCTGATAATTTTTCACGGAAATTCGCTTTGTTGGTTTCTAAATGTTGGACAGCGAGCGTACGCTTTTCGTAAAAGCCCATTTATTTTTAGTTTGAATGATTATGCATTTTTGAATTGTTCAAGACACTCGCGAGTTTACTATTTGGAATTAGGAACATAAAACAGAAAGATAACCGATCTAGTACAAATGTGCTAGCGTCTAACGGATGTGAATTAGGGTCACTAATTTTGTTACAAGACAGCGTTTCAGATCATTTTTTCTTTGACATTAGCGATTTTCATCAGCTGAACCCATTATGCCGCGGTTTTCCTCGTCTTTCAGGGCTTAAAACCTTTGCAATAAAAGTCATGCCAGCAGATGGAGCAAATCCGGCTAAAACTATAAGGATTTCGCCTTTAAAGTTTCCCTTTTTTTGTACAGGATAACAATGTTTTGAGAAATGTTCAGCGTAACCTTAAAATAATTTTCAGCGAAAAGAATGAGATGTGAAGGACATTACCTTTTGCTGTCATGTCAATATAAATAACAATAATAAAAACGGTAAATTATAATAATGGCATAATAATATTATTAATAGTAACAGTAATGATGTTTACTGAATCCAACTCGCCAAGGTGGTTTTCAATTTGAAGTTACCCTTCAGAAACACAGGATGAAGCTGTGGATTAACCATTACGTTAGCGGAAGTGTGGTTGCCGTTTTAAAATAGTCAACAGACAACAGCAGCTGTACATATGGTCTTCAAATATGTTGATTTACTGCTGAATATAAATGTTGTATGACTTACCTCAGAAGTCGCGGAATATGTAGTTTGTTGACAGCTATGCAAATAAGTTCCAACAGCCCGAACAATAATGATAAGGTCGCCACTAATTGAATTTTCCAGGTGAAAGAGCAAAGTCGATGTTTTACTTGCTGTGTTTTCTATAAAAAAAAAATAAAGCAAGAAAGAAAACGAAAAAGTAAATAAATAGATTTGACGATGGTGCCGTTCTACAGAAGTATATTCTCGCCAAATATATAGCCTCGTATATATATAAATGCACACGCTCGAAATTAATTTTCAAAGGTTCAGGTGATAAATTTAGACACAAACTTGACGTTACTGGCGACACGTTTGCTTAAAAGCAACAAGTTCTTTGATAAAAAAAATGATATTTCTATCAAAGGAAAAAGCTCTTTCTTGCGTACGGTAAAGGAAAAAGATGCCAAATTTTCTTCAAATGCAATAAAAGTGGTAGAATATAATGCCGGTACAAGTTAGGCCCGGCCAATTTGGTCGTTTCTTCATTTTTTGGAGGAATCAACCACCTTTTCACAGTAGGAGAGCAAAAAAGCTTTACGAATCTTACGAATCTTAGACGAGTGTTACTGGTAAATCGCAACATTATTCAACAAAAGGAATAAAGAGATCCTTTATTACAGAGCCTGATTTTGGTCTTTGCAGACATTTCGGAAGAGCATTTCTTTTCCAAGACGTCTGCAAACACCAAAAACAGGCTCTGTTTGAAGGCATCTCTTTATTTCTTTTTTTATGGTAGAGTCGTTAGACAACTTAATTTCTAAATTATTCAACACGTTAAAGTACTTGATTTATCCCGTGTAACTAATACATCATATGTTTTCTTATAGAAAATTATCCGTCCTCTCGTAAGGATCTTTCGTTGAACAAAAACTTCTCATTTTTTTAACAAAAAAACTATTAAATTTATTCTGGGCGTTTTAAAGGTTCGGCGATCAAGAACTGTAAACAAAATGATCCTTTCTCCCTACTGAGCGACCTCAAAAATGAATGAATTGAACATTCAATATGATTTTCGTAGGTAAGTTGGTGAAACTGATTAGAAAATTGATTTACTCGGCCAGCACATGCTTTTGATAACGTCAACTATTCACGTACATGCGGTAAATAACCATTGCAATGGAGTTAGATGTGATTAATTTAAGCCTGAAATAACCTAGAGAAGACAAAATTAGAATTATTAATCGATCCTTACTACGATGGTATCAACAAGTATTTAGAAATTTACGAGGCAAGTTCCTCAGACTTACACTTTAGTTCTATAAAAAGTGCCCACGTAACGAAAGTCGGCAAAGAAAAATTCGTTTCTTTCTTGAGAAGCAAAATGAAGCACGGACGGTCTCATGAACACGTTTCATCAAACGAAGTTTTTCTGTGGTAAACAAATTATTCATAAGTATATTTAAGTCACCAAAAAGAGACAACTGTCATGGTGTGATGTTTACTCGTCGTTTATTTATAGCGAAAAAAATTATTAAAACGACAAATAATTTGAACGAGGCTTTCGAACTGTGACGTAACCGTGTCAATATTTTCGTGGGTTTCGAGGGGATTTTTCGTTAAAAAAATTGTTCTTTACGTCCTGGACAAGATGTGTTGGATATCTCTTACGTAAAGATTAGAATCGGTATGGTAAGTCGTGGGCTATTTTTTAGGTCAAGTGGTACAAATTCATACGGTAAAAAAATTCTTGCGTAATAGGGCAGTTGGGACTCTCCTTTTTTTACAAGTTTATTCACCTGGAAAAAGGTCCAAATTCCTCAAAACAAAACGCAGTGAGAAGACGATGCATTTGGTTTTCAAGAACCGTAATGTGCGGTTACTGAGTTTTAATGAATGTGTTCGTAATCATGTTTGTAACAAAATAACATTAACGATCGAGAGCTTAATTACAATAATTCTATCCCTTCATTATTTGTTGACAACGCCACGAGACACTCTATGAAATGATCTTTTTTTTTTTTTTTCTCTCCCTCTATCTCTCTTTTTCTCTTTTACTGGAAGTGGAGCCCCTTTGAAGACTGACACAGTTTAGAATACATTCGCTATCGAGGGAAGAGGCGAAATATTTGTCTTGAGCCGACGTTCTAATCCAAATTTACCAACCCATCCGGCAGCTAGTTAGATGCAAATCATGTCACACGGTTGCTTGGTTTCTAATCTAAAGATGCAATATACATGTAATGTGCGGGGGAAGAAGACTTGTCATCTCGTTCCTCCGTTTTTCTTCATATTTCATATGTAAGACGACCGTAGCAATTGCTTGAAAAAAGGAAGAGGGCGAAAAGCAATAACATTCCGCTGTGGGGGCGTTTGCGATGATATTAGTTTTATCATTACAAATAAAACTCTGATGCATAATAGACTTAGAGCTGTCTAAAATTATGAACAATTTAAGGTAGCTTTGAACTCGCGATACAGATCTTTTAACAAATTTCAAGAGGATGAGAATTCATTTATTGAGTTGTGTAGGATGTGCAAGGTCGGTTACCTTTTAAAAATTTTACACGCTGCACGCAAAGAGAGAATATTTCAAACTCTGCTATAATCTTTTCTTTCTTTTACAGAAAACTGACCATTTCACGTCGTATCTCATATCCCATCAACCCCTCCCCTCTCCTCTTAGTAGTGTTCATGGCTTACCACTTCCTCTTCTGCAGTTAAGAGAGGAAACCTCTTCAAGTTAACCTAGGATGACAAGTTATATGCTGATTTTAATTCTCAGAAATAAGACTGGGGCTTTAGCCAGCTCGCTTTCAAGTCATCAAGCCTAAAAAATCTGAATAAAAGAGTGAGTTGTATATCTATCTCTGATGTTTTTGACATAGGTTGAGGTGAGTGGAATGCATATAAAATAGTTAAAAGACGACCAGTTGTCTATTTTGAACACACTGAAAAGATTATCGTCATTATGACGTAGTCACCATTCACCTTCCGTTTGAGTTGTCTCATTAAAATATAACCTGTCTGTAAGGAGTTTGGTGTGAGTGGGATGCATCCTGACTCGTATTCCAAAACATTGTGGGAGAACTTTGGATATATTGCAAAGTTCGTACCTATATTATTTTAATTTATTTTAACCATGTTCGTGTCCAAATTTGACATAACGTTCTACGTAAGCGAGTTTGTGTTCGGCCATAATTTTTAAAGTCGGTCTCTTCACCCTTTCTCTCCCAAGATCTCATTGGTAACTCTCTTTACCATCTGTCATACAGGTTTTATGAAATTATTTCGGAGAGTTTGGTATTGGATCAACTAATAATCCCCTAGTTGATCTTTTCTTTATTCTCCTAACTTGCCTGCTTGATATTGCGTTGATTTTGTAACGAGAAATTCTGTCTTGCTCACTCCTGGGGATTTAAGGGGTTGATGTTTTCAAAAGATATAATTCTTGGAGAATAAACGCGATGGAGGAACTTTTCGTTAGTTGAAGTCTTACACTGATCTTGATGGAAATAACTAGCAAGAAACGTCAGCGATATTAGACGGGAGTTTATTTTATATCACACAGGTGAAAAAGAGATGCCCACCTGCTTCTGTCCATTAGCCAGTCATCTTTAATGGATTCAAATTTCAATTTATTTTGTGGACAGAATAAAACAAAAGCGTCGTAAACAGATATGCAGCCAGAATCCTTTTATCCTGCTTTGTTCATGCTCACTTCATTGTAAAAAACGCGATTGAGTCACCAATACCGTTCTTGACTCTCCATAAAACCTTGTTGGAAAATGCAAGAGGCCAACTAAATATCAGTTTAATTTAGAAGTCAATGCAAAAAGTATTAATACGAGAAAAGACTTAGATAAAATAAGAAATATGGGAGACTTCTTTATGTTTCAATCGAATAAATTGAAAAATCATCGTCCTACTTGCTCTTTCTTGGAGCTACGTTCTTCAATGTTATTATTGATCATGTTTATTTGCAAAAATTTGCATTTATTTTAAGATAAATTTTCGATTATGTGTCCTCATTTTTAAAAGGTTTTCAAAACCTTTAAACAACGCAGATTTTTTTTTCTTTAATTTAGAAAAGCTTTCAGAAATGTTCGATATTTTGCACTGTCTAACAGTTTTCATCACTCATCATGAATTTGAGGTTTATGAATTGAAACAAATTATTGAAAACCATCAGACTGTAATTTATTCTAGAAGTCTATTCGTTTTACTAAACACATTTCCCAGGGAAAAGTAACAAATCTGCCATAAGTGATTTCATACTTGGTACGAAGAGACATCAGTTTAAACTTAAAAGGGAACAAGATAAATTCCAATTTTCCCGGTAACCTTGCCAAGCAAAATTACCTTGCCAAAAAAGCAGGCGGCCAAATCCAGACTGAGAAACTAATTTAGGAATGTTTACATAATATCTATGTATAAAAGAAGAAAATTCAAGCAAAAAACAAATTTGCCCGACCAATCAAAAAGATCTACCTACCTAATAAAGGAGGTATGTTATTTAATGTTCTTGCTGATTATGCATTCAAGGTAATCGTAGGTAGAGAAAGATATGATGAACTTGACACTGGAGAAAATTAGCTTTGCTGTGTAATATTTCATGCGTTAACTTACAACATTTCCTTGTGATATTTCATGAGCTAACCTACAAGCTTTGGAGTGATTTAAGGAGTTCACCGTTTGAAGTAGCAGAAATGTAAAGGGGAGCCAATAGGAAGTAAAATTGGATGGTTCTAATATTCAAGAAAAATTTTCAGTAGTGTGGAAAGTGAAGTAATTGTCGCGTCCTTTTGTAAGTTTTGCAGAGACTGAACCATCTATATGGTGGTTTGATAAACTTGACAGATTTTTTTCGGCTTTAGCCGTTTCCAATTAAATTGACATAAATTTTGAGTGAAGTATGGTTTTAATTTCCTTGACGGACCATTTTACGCTGTCATTCTTAAGTCAAAGACATTTTTCGAAATTATGCATTTAGTTTCCACTAGGATGAAGGCAGCTGGATCATAGTCATTATAAAATACGTTGCACGATTTTTTTTTTCAAATGTCTTCCCTAACCTTTTTTGATTGAGTGAAACTTGTTCGAATTCAGGCGCTATTAACCCTATGTTTACTTTCTATATTTCCCTTATTTAAAACATTGAAGAAAAGATCGCCCTAAAATTAATGAAAAGAAAAGATCAAAAACAAGGCGTGGGCTTGTTTTCTTTTGCTTTTATTTATTTATTTTTTTTTTTTTTCGGTTCCATGGTTTTATCCACATCTCTCCTAAAACAAAAGCTGATCTACACTCTTTCATGTAGTGTTTTATTTGGTATTATAACTGAAAAATCAAAAAACTGTGACTAAGAAGCAACTCAAGACATTTCAAAATATTTTTTCTCAGATAGGTACCAAAAAGGTAAATCCAAAACTTTGCCCTGGTAAGAACAACTTACTCTAGTTTATGTTTCTTTTAGTGTTAAATACTGATTTAAAAGACTTACCTTCAACCTCGAAAAAGCAGCAGAAAGTTGTTTTGCAGTATTTAAACTGGGGCGACAATGATTAATTGACTTCTGGTAGCACAAGAACATATATTGCTTTTTTCCAAAGTTCACATTATTGCACCTCTGCTGTTGTCCAATAGGAGGTCATTTTTTAATTAAAACTGAATCATTACCCGGAGACATTTGTCTGCTGACTGGAGACACTTCAGACATACCATCAATTTAGGTAGATTTCAAAGGAAACCGTGTTTAGAAATTGGCATAAGGAACCTTAAACTGTTCAACACATTTTACCAAACTTGTGCCATCATTGTTCAGTTAATTTTATACATAAACAAGGTAGATCTTATCTGTAAACTCAGTACACAGGAGCAGCAGAGACTAACGAATCAAATTAAAAAATGTTTTTGAGGTTTCCAAGAGATCACGCAAAGATAAAACTCTAATCTGGTCTTTACCGCGAAAGTCTTTTTCATGTGCCGAAACTTAAGATTAAAAGCATTTCTGATGTCATTCGAAATTCGATTTTCGACCAGAACTATATCCGCTTGTGAACCTGATGGTAGTTGGGAGTGTTAGAGATTTATCCCGTGTTGTTAAAGGCAGATAGTCACCAAAAACAAGCCGCGAGAAAAATGGCATCTCAGAAACCCACAAGTCAGATTTTGTTTCGAGCATGACGTCATGGGCACCAAAGGAAAACACAGGTGAACACAACTGTAAAACGTATGGGGCCTGGGCGAGAAAATAAATTTTGCCGTCTGCGCTCCAAATTCCCGCGCCATGTTTTTTAGGCTTTTACAGTTAAAAAAAATGAAAGTTAAGTCCTCTCTATTGACACAAGAGATTATATAAAATCTCTTGACTGAAGGAAACTTGTTTAATTCGCTATTTATGAAATTTGGCCTTTTGTATATTTTAAAGGAGTCTGGAGATAAATCCCAGCGTTCCGATTGGTTCTTTCTTGATCGGGATTCTGCCCTACGGACCGCTTCCTCGGAAACGATCATCAGTCGTCCATTTTTGTTTACGCGGCCGGCACATTTGATATTTGCATCAAAGACTGTGAAGTTCATCATGGAAAATACTTTCATCCTTCGCAAAACCAAATGATTTGATTTTAGAAAGAAGCAGACAATCATTAGAGCGAACTTTTCATTATCCGCAGGAAGTGCGGTTTTGTGCGCAATAAAGCGATGAGCTGCGAAGCTTGGGAAGGAACATGACTTATTTCCAAGCACTTGCGATTTCTTCGCTCATCGCTTGGCGAACACAAAACCATAAAGTGCATACAAAACCGGCAGCCAGCCACACAGGCTGATGTGTAGTTGTATATGAAACAACCATAAACGAAATCCAGGAGGCCATAGATGATTATATAAACAAACAGTAATATGCAGACACAACTGATTTGTATTTTATAAAGAAGCAGACTATCATTCACGGGGCGAAGTTTTCATTCACCTCAAGATCTGATTGAAATTGTGATGAGACCTGCGCAACAAGCGGTTTTATGGGTAATATCGCGATGATATTTTCCGACACTTGCGATTTCTACCCTCATCGCCTAGCGAACAAAAAGCCACAAAGTGCACACAAAACTGCCAGCCAAGCAGGCTACTCGTGATGTAGCATTTGAAACAACCATAAAAGAAAGTCAGATGGCCATAGACGATTTTATAAACGAACAGAAATATGCAGAGATAAATTAGAAGCTGACTTCTCTTACTGATCCTTCCTCTCTTTTGTTTTGTTTTCCTCTGAAATTATATTTCTTTACAAAGTGATAATGCGCTAAAGTTGTTATCAATTTTTATTTTGGTGTACAGTGTCCCATGTTCTTAAGAAATGCAGCTTAGGTATAGATGTTGTCTTACGGTGGCATTCCTTAACACTTATTTTTATGTTACATGTACAATGAAGAATTATTTAACATCCTTAACGTTATCGACTGTGTAAAAACTAAATACCTTGTGGTTACAGCTCGGTCTTTCGCTCAGGTGAGGACATTCAGTAAAAATCACAGGACAGAGACTGAAGACTAATGTAAAGGCGAACAGCGGTGAGATTGGCTCTACACTAAACTGGCTTCGGCGATAAGAAGCTGCATCAGGAAACCACAATACTTTCCACACGAAGCTAAAAGTAACTAAAGGGAAATCTTCATAATCCGGCCAGCGCCATACGGATTTCCCTTTCTGTCTCATAATTTTTCTTGAGGACACGGAATAACTAACATCAACCGAAGAGGGTGATTGCAATCTTTATGACTTTCATCATAATAATCGCTTCGGGCTTCATACATATTTTTTAAGCAGCGATGAAAAAATGGTTATGATGGTAAGCATTACTCTTACTTTCTTATCATAATCTCAAACTGAGAGAGAGAGAGAGAGAGAGAGAGAGAAAGCAGAAAGTTTCGCTGAATTGGTCAGCTGTGATATCAAAGTCACTAGAAAATTCGCCTCAGGCACATTAAAATTTAGATATTATGTCATATGTGATTAATAGGTTTTTGGCTCACTCTTAATGTAAATATTACCTTTAATTTTATAAAACTTCAGGAAATTTGTGAGAAAATCTATGGCCTTTTTTTAACGATTATTTATATGCGTGTAACTTGATGTAACTTATCTGACGGAGCAATCGAAAGAGAATCAGAAACACTACTTTAACTTGATACAAAGCAAGAT